CTTCGCGATCAGACAAGACACCACGTCCACGTCCACGTCTCCGGGGTGTAGCCGCTGCGCGACTCCCGGACCAGCAGGCGGTATAACCTCTACGTACAACCTGAAGGATGGGGAAGCCCACAGCGGCTGGCCCCCCTGCCGCCCTTCTCCAGTCAGCCCCCAGGGGGGGGACGCGGGGAGCAGGAGCCCAGGAGGCCAGAAGAGGAACCAGGGAGACCGAAGAAACCAGGACGAGAACCAGGGGGCCCGAGGAGGGGGAAGGGGAGGGGGGGAGGGGAGCCCGACCAGAGAGTGGCAGGGGGGGGGCAACCATGGGAAGAGGGAAGACCGTCGCGTCTCGATCGCGTGTACAGCCCCGCAACAAAACCCGCACCAGCCCACACAACGACCGCCCGAGGGGTGCGCCCGACCTGGTCCCCCATGGAGGTGGCCGCAACAGCGGTGAGCACCACGCACAGTGGCCCCACTTGATGCATTTAGTCAAACCGACCCCTATTGGGGGGCCGACGCGCCAAGAGGCCCAGAACTGCCAGGCTGTATGACGCTCCACCCTGGGTCCAGACCCCAGGAGGCCCGAAGGGGAGGCCCCGCCCCCTGGGACCCCACCCACGGGGGGAGCGTGACGATCCAGACGTTCGTCCTAAAGAGAGCGCCCGAGAGACGAGATTCACGGAAACATCACCCACAAAACAATTTCATTCAAAAACACGCCACACGTTTCTCCCCGGCCGCGTGGGGCAGGGGGCGGCTGGCCACACGGTGGAAACCGGCGACCTGGCGCAGATGGATGGGGCAAGCCCTTCCTTGCGCCGCCCCCAGATGGTCGGGGGAACCCGCCATCGACAGCGTGCGGTGTAGAAACACCAACACGGGCAGCGCAGCCAAAATCCGAAACTTGTTGTGTGGCGCTCGTGTCCCCAGACGCTTCGTGTTCATGGACCTCGCATTCCGTTACCAAGCTCTCGCCCTCTTCATAGCTTCCCTATCCTGTTCACTCCGCGCTCCCATCTATGTTGGCCCTTATTACCACCTTCTGGTTTCGATGGGTCGTTTTAGGACGCCCACCCCGCCCGACCATGGCCGAAACCACCGCCGAGTGAGACCGGCGCCCAGGGACTGCACACCCCGCCCGACCATGGCCGAAACCACCGCCGAACGACATGTGCACACCCATTTGACGGTGCGCCTAGACCAAGGGCGTCGCCGTCCTGCCACCCCGCCCACCAGGGGAAAGGTCTGGAGACCCAACCGCCCCTGATAGGTGTTTGGACGAAGTGGGTTGTACACTCCCGCCCCCGAACAATCAAATGTGTCCAGTGATAGGCTCGCAAGTGCCAGTGGCCAGTGACCCAAAACAATAGCAACGAACCTAACACCACCGAAGGCTCAAGAGGGGGCGCCCCCGGAGGGGCATGGGTTAGCCGTGTCCCCCCTCCACCAAACCCTACCCCTTGACCACGAAAGTCCAAGCACACGAAGACCCGTGACCCAGCACAACAGCGGCGATGGTGAAGGACTAGCCAATCCCGCAGGTTAGAGTGGGGGCTACCGACCCGCCTCGGTCAGTGGCTCCCCCTCACCCCTGCCATGGCTAGTCTTGCACACTCCTCCTGTGGTCCGGGATGGGGTCCAGTGGAGGGACGTTGTCCCAGGTGCGGCCGTGTTCAGGTAGAACTGGAGGCTTGTGTACCTGCACCTGCAGACAAGACACCTCAGGCAGCTTCACTCTGATCTCATCCATCGTATTGATCTGGACCAAGCACTCCGAGTGGATTCCAGGAACCCTCTGTTCGGGCAGCTCCACATAGTGCGGTTGGTCCATCCTGCTCCCCACATGCCCGATCGCCATCAGCACCAGCATCTCCTTCTCGATATCCTCCTTGGCGATGAAGAGCACCTCCGTGCACTGTTCCTTAGCTGGCCGATCCTCCTCATCGACCGTCGTCTTCGTGTAGTACCTCTTCCGCTTTTGCACCTCCGCCGCCGTGACCTCCCCCCCATGATCTCGCTTAAGGGGTCCACCGCCGTCTCTGACGATGCCGAGGTCCCACCTATCTCACGTGTCCTCGCTCGGCGGCTTGGTGATCTTGATCTCCTCCGCGCTTCCAGCGGTCGACCTTTGAGTCTCTCCACCTCCTATCGTACATATCCTGGTGTCTCCTTCATCTCTGCGGGGTCTTGGTCGGGTCGATCCTCTCCAGCATCTCCGTCTCGGTCCTGATCGGGGGGTGAGCCCGCCTCCTCGATCTCCTTGTCACTGCCTGACATTTCCACCTCCGCGTAGTAGCTGATCTGTGCATCTGGCGGAAACTCCACCTCGGGATATCTGTGTAACCTGGCTGTCGGTACCCCCTGGCGATGGCCTCTGGTGACAGCAGGTCCTCCTGCAGGCCCCACGACAGGATCTCCTCACGTGATCCAGGCCGAAGCTGCCAGGCCTCCGCCAGCAGCCACTGTGCGCCGAAGGCGATGACGTAGTTGTCGCGCAGTCGACCCACGACTCGCGCCTAACAGCGCAACCCTGCCTTGGCGGCCTTCTTCGAGTTGCCCTTGACCTTCCACCAGAAGGTCACGAAGTCATGAACACCTGGCGTACTCGCGGTCTCGCATCCAGTGCTGCGCGCATTGGCCGGTCGTCCTTCAGCGCCACTGTCGCCATGCGCGCCGCCTGCCTCACGGCAGGCCTCCGCGCGAATTCCTGGTCGTGTAGCACCGCCGAGTTCGTCGCCGCCGAGTTCCCCTCGGGCTGCAGCTTCTCTGGCAACGGCGGCTCGCGCCCAAACGCCCACTGGCGGGGAGAGTAGCCCGATCTCCGTGTCAGTCGATTCTTGGCCTCGCACGTGCTGGCGACGGCCTCCAGCCACTCTCCTTTCGTCGAGATCTGCTGATCGTCAATCACCTTCTTGAGTATCCGCTCGAACCACTGCCCATGCACCTCCGCCTCCGCGTTCTGCTCGTGCGCCTCGCCTGGCGCTGTATCCACCACCGCGGTCCTGTCCTTCTCGAAGCCGTCCATCATGGTTGGGCCGAGGTTCGTCGTGCCGGAGTCCATCTCCACCCGACATGGCGCGTGGTAGTGTTGGACTTGCGTCTTGTGGTACAGAACGCGCAGCACCTGCGACGTCTCTTGCTCAAAGAATGGCTCGACCTGCTGCAGCTCGGAGCCCGCGTCCACGATGTTCAGGCTCTTCACGGTCATGGGGCAGCAGATTCTGCCCGGCAGATGCTTCACGTCGATGAATAGCGTGTGCAACGGGGGCAGGTCCTTCGTCGGTGCCGCTGGTTGCAGAACCTTAAGCTTCACATGATGACTGCACACGTCGCACACCAGTTGCTTCGCTAGCTCCATCGCCGTCTCACAGGCACCTCCATTACGCAGTACACGGGCGAGGGTGTCAGCTCCTGGATGTCCCAGGTTCTTGTGCAGGCTCATCACTGCCACCTTGGTCTGGTTCTCCGTGAGCTTGGTCACCTCCTTCTGTTCCGTCGCGGCCGTCAGGACCTCCACGGCCCTTCTCCTGTCCAGCGCTGCCAGCGCTCCTGCACGAAGCGAACCAGCAGCGGGTTGGGGTACGTCTTCGTGTGCTCGCTCCTCTTCAGTCCGCTCTTCATGACGTCGATCGCATGTACGTGCTGCCGCCTTGACAGAGCACCTCCACCGTCTCCGCCATCACCCAGTCGTTTGTCAGGAACTGCCACTGTTTTGCGAATCTCCTGCCCGTGTCCGGCTCGGTCAGGCCGAGCGCGCATCCCGCCGTCTTCACCACGTGCACTTGACCCTTGACTCCGTTCAGAAAGGCCCCCATCCCCGCAAGCGTCCAGGTTCCACCTCCAAGCGGTGCTTCGAACAGAAAGACTCCGCCGAGCGCCATCAGCGTTCGGGCCATCTTGATACACAAGCGTACGTAGCCAACTGCCTTCTGGTAGTCCCGGATCCACCGACCCATTTCCTTCGGCACGGGGTTGAGATTCTGCAGCTTCGATAGCATCCGGCATGGCGGTGACATGGTCAGTAGCCACGACCTTTCGGTCTCGATGATCTCCTCCGCTTGTCGCCTGACATGGGGCCTGTCCAGATCCCATCCCGTCTTCAGGTCGAACGCCCCGAGGCTGGTGACGCGGGCAGCTGCAGCCGCCTGTGCCATTCGCAGCGGCGAGAACAGATCCAGCACTCCGACGTCGCTCCTGGTCTCGATGCGAGCTCCTGCCGCCGCAGACTCCAGCGATCTCCTGTCTGCTTCTTCGTCAGCACCACTGGCTTCACCCCTGGTGTGTCCCCGTTTGCCTCCTTGACCAGGTTGATCTGCCGCTTCGTCTTCTTGTAGACCTCCACGCCCTCCGTCTTCCAGTCCAGGACCCTCTCCACGTCTGCGCACGCCGGGGGCGTATACTTTACAAGCGCGAAGAAGCCCTGTGGCGCGGGGATGGGGGGGGAAACAGGCGGGGGGAAGGGGCGGGAGGGAGGAGGGGGTGAAACAAGAAGGGGCAGCTCAACCCGGAGCCGCCAACGTTAGCCTCAATCCGGCGGCCCGGCCTGCGACACGAGCCGCAATCGCAGCGCGGCGCGCCAAGCCGCCACGGGCCCCCCGGCAGCGCGGCGGCGCGGGGCGGCAGCGAAACGGCCCAGCCAGGGCATGGATGGGCCGCGCGGCTGACAAGGGTACCATTACCTGAGCGAATGATGCCATACCTGAGAGAGCGAAAAGGATATTTGGGAGCGGACACATGGAATTAGTTGGGACGAGTGGGACGAGGAAAAAGATGCTCGCTATCAGGCGGAACAAGATGCTCGCTATCAGGCTCTAAGACAAGAAGAAAAGGCTCGAAGACAAGAAGAAGAGGCTCGAAGACAAGGCCTGTTGCTTTCAGTTCTTCGCGAGTACAGCATACTCTTCCTCAAGGCGGCCGCAGGCTTGGTGCGTCTCCTCTGCGAGGACCTGCTGAACCTGTTCGTGCAGTGGGGATTCGTCGTGAAGTTTTGGGACGACCTCGGTTCGGGGATGAAGGCCTTCACTGCTTCGTCCATGGCCGTCGGGTTCGCGTGCTCTTGCGCCGGCCCGCTGAAGGACACCTACGGAGCGTACAGGGTGCGCAGTCGGGCAGTGGAGTCTGGGCTCGCGGCGGAGCTGCACGTCCGGACGTCTCCGGACGTCTCGGGCGCCGCGGACATTGGGCGCTGCGTAATGGGGGATCATAAATGGGGGGGCGGCGAGTGTGGTCCGAAAAGGTACCCAAACGGTACCTAAACGAGCCCCCTGGGGCTCCGGAGGGGCCCGAAAGGGGCACGAAAGGGGACCTTTTCTGACCCCCCCATTTGTGACCCCCCCATTAAGCCACGCCCAAGGACATCGAGAACGAGACGAGCCATTTTCTGGAAGAAGAGGCTCAGCCGACAAGCCAGCCACAGGGCCCGAGTGAGGGCGTGGCCCGAGGAGATCAGCCGGCGCCGCCTTCCACCGGCGACGCGCGCGGCGAAGGGAGGAGCAGGAGGGGAGTCATGCTCTACAGTGGCAGCGTGTTGAGCTTCATCCAGGAAGGCCGCGCGAGGCACTCGGTTGCTGCCCACCGTGTTCTCGTGATCTGTGCACTCATGTACTGGGTCGGCATGGCGTTGCTTCCCGTGCTTTTCGGCAGCTCCATCACGGGCGGCATTGATGCATCCGTCCCGCAAGCAGCGGTCCTCTATTTCTTCCTGCTTAACGTCTGCAGCATCCTGGGCGAGCTCTGGATCGTCATCCACACCGAGGTGGGCCATTACATGATATTCTTTACGCTTCGCGTATCCCCACCAGCCCATCTCACAACAGCAACTCTCGCGAAGCATGCCGACAGTCGTGTTTTTCAGGCGTGTGTCCGCTTGGCCCTGCATATCTCCCCTGTTACTCCTTCCTCCCGCCTCCTTGTACATCCTCCTTGTGGGGGGAGCGGGAGAAGGACGAGGCGGAGGAGGATGGAGAGAAAGCGCTCCTCGTGGTTTGAGTCGTTTGGGGTTTCTCGTCCTGGTGTGAGTCGTTCGGGCCCTTCTTCCTGGTGTGAGTCGTTCGGGCTCTTCGTGGTGTGAGTCGTTCGGGCTCTTCGTCCTGGTGTGAGTCGTTCGGGCTTCTCGTGGTGTGAGTTGTTCGGGCCCCTCGTCCTGGTGTGAGTCGTTCGGGCCCCTCCTCCTGGTGTGACTCGTTCGGGCTCCTCGTGGTGTGAGTCGTTCGGGGCCCTCGTCGTGGTGTGAGTCGTTCGGGCTCCTCGTGGTGTGAGTCGTTCGGGCGCCTCGTCCTGGTGTGAGTCGTTCGGGCCCCTCCTTCTGGTGTGAGTCGTTCGGGCTCTTCGTGGTGTGAGTCGTTCGGGCCCCTCGTCCTGGTGTGAGTCGTTCGGGCTCCTCGTGGCGTGAGGCGTTCGGGCACCTCGTCCCCTTTTGGGGCGTCTTGGGGGCCTCTTGGCGGCCCCAGGGGCTTCTAGGAGCGTCTTGGGTGCCTTGGGGGAGCCTCTTCGGGCCTCTTGGGAGCCTCTTGGAGGCCGTTTGGGGCGTCTTGGGGGCCTCTTGGCGGCCCCAGGGGCTTCCAGGAGCGTCTTGGGTGCCTCGGGGGAGCCTCTTGGGGCCTCTTGGGGGCCTCTTGGGGGCATCTTGGGGGCCTCTTGGAGGCCTCTTGGGGGCCTCCTGGGGGCCTCTTGGGGCCATCTTGGGGCCTCTTGGTGCCTCCTGGGCGCTTCTTGGGGCCATCTTGGAGAGAATCGATCAAAGAAGAGGGGAGCTTTAAGGCTGAGGCTGAGGCAGGCTGAGGCTGAGGCTGAGGCTGATGCAGGCTGAGGCTGAGGCAGGCTGAGACTGAAGCCGAGGCTGAAGGCAGATTGAGGCTGAGGCTGAAGCAGGCCGAGGCTGAGGCTGAGGCTGAGGCAGGCTGAGGCTGAGGCTGAGGCAGGCTGATGCTGAGGCAGGCTGAGGCTGAGGCTGATGCAGGCTGAGGCTGAGGCAGGCCGAGGCCGAGGCTGAAGGCTGAGGCTGAGGCTGGCAGAGGCTGAGGCTGAGGAGGCTGAGGCTGAGGCTGAGGCTGAGGCTGAGGCAGGCTGAGGCTGAGGCTGAGGCTGAGGCAGGCTGAGGCTGAAGGCAGAGGCTGAGGCTGCTGGCTGAGGCAGGGCTGAGGCTGAGGCTGATGCAGGCTGAGGCTGAGGCAGGCTGAGGCTGAGGCCGAGGCTGAAGGCAGACTGAGGCTGAGGCTGAAGCAGGCTGAGGCTGAGGCTGAGGCAGGCTGAGGCTGAGGCTGAGGCAGGCTGGCTGAGGCAGGCTGAGGCTGAGGCTGAGGCTGAGGCTGAGGCTGATGCAGGCTGAGGCTGAGGCAGGCTGAGGCTGAGGCCGAGGCTGAAGGCAGACTGAGGCTGAGGCTGAAGCAGGCTGAGGCTGAGGCTGAGGCAGGCTGAGGCTGAGGCTGAGGCAGGCTGATGCTGAGGCAGGCTGAGGCTGAGGCTGAGGCTGATGCAGGCTGAGGCTGAGGCAGGCTGAGGCTGAGGCCGAGGCTGAAGGCAGACTGAGGCTGAGGCTGAAGCAGGCTGAGGCTGAGGCTGAGGCAGGCTGAGGCTGAGGCTGAGGCAGGCTGATGCTGAGGCAGGCTGAGGCTGAGGCTGAGGCTGATGCAGGCTGAGGCTGAGGCAGGCTGAGGCTGAGGCCGAGGCTGAAGGCAGACTGAGGCTGAGGCTGAAGCAGGCTGAGGCTGAGGCTGAGGCAGGCTGAGGCTGAGGCTGAGGCAGGCTGATGCTGAGGCAGGCTGAGGCTGAGGCTGAGGCTGATGCAGGCTGAGGCTGAGGCAGGCTGAGGCTGAGGCCGAGGCTGAAGGCAGACTGAGGCTGAGGCTGAGGCTGAGGCTGAGGCTGAGGCTGAGGCTGAGGCAGGCTGAGGCTGAGGCTGAGGCAGGCTGAGGAGGCTGAGGCTGAGGCTGATGCAGGCTGAGGCTGAGGCAGGCTGAGGCTGAGGCCGAGGCTGAAGGCAGACTGAGGCTGAGGCTGAAGGCAGGCTGAGGCTGAGGCTGAGGCAGGCTGAGGCTGAGGCTGAGGCAGGCTGAGGCTGAGGCAGGCTGAGGCTGAGGCTGAGGCAGGCTGAGGCTGAGGCCGAGGCTGCAGGCAGACTGAGGCTGATGCAGGAGCAGGCTGAGGCTGAGGCTGAGGCAGGCTGAAGCTGAGGCTGAGGCTGATGCTGAGGCAGGCTGAGGCTGAGGCTGAGGCTAATGCAGGCCACTGCGACTGTCATCGCGAATGCGACTACGACTGCGAGAACAGCAGAACTCTACAACTGGATTCTCATCTGAATCTTAAGGGGGATGCTTCCAGATATGCTCCTACACATCGCTGTTAGGTTGCTTTGCCGGGATAATCAATGATTTTGCTTGGAAAGAAGAGGGGAGCTTTAATGAGCGCTGGCCCCTCAGAAGGCCAAACTGGGGCCAAAACCGTAGTAAAATCAATGATTCTGGCTTCAAAGAAGAGGAGAGGGTTTTTTCTGCCTCCCCCCGTCGGGGCCAGAATCCTCGTGAGGGGTGTCGTTTTTTAGCCCTCCCAGGGGTCGAAAAAGACCCCTCCGGCCACCCGCAAAAGGACCTCTCCAGGCCCAGGGGGAGGGGGTAGGGGGAGGGGTAAACCCCTCCCCGAATGGGAAGAAGCGGGGTTGAGAACAGAGAGAGCTCCCTAAACCACTCACGCCCAAAGGGCTGGTGGGAGTAGTTGTAGTAGTAGTAGTAGTAGTAGTAGTAGTAGTAGTAGTAGTAGTAGTAGTAGTAGTAGTAGTAGTAGTAGTAGTAGTAGTAGTAGTAGTAGTAGTAGTAGTAGTAGTAGTAGTAGTAGTAGTAGTAGTAGTAGTAGTAGTAGTAGTAGTAGTAGTAGTAGTAGTAGTAGTAGTAGTAGAGTAGTAGGAGTAGTAGTAGTAGTAGTAGTAGTAGTAGTAGTAGTAGTAGTAGTAGTAGTAGTAGTAGTAGTAGTAGTAGTAGTAGTAGTCGTAGTAGTCGTAGTAGTAGTAGTAGTAGTAGTAGTAGTAGTAGTAGTAGTAGTAGTAGTAGTAGTAGTAGTAGTAGTAGTAGTAGTAGTAGTAGTAGTAGTAGTAGTAGTAGTAGTAGTAGTAGTCGTAGTAGTAGTAGTAGTAGTAGTAGTAGTAGTAGTAGTAGTAGTAGTAGTAGTAGTAGTAGTAGTAGTAGTAGTAGTAGTAGTAGTAGTAGTAGTAGTAGTAGTCGTAGTAGTCGTAGTAGTAGTACTGGTAGTAGTAGTGGCCGTACCACCATGCGTAGAAGTAGTAATAGTAGAGGTAGAAGTAGTAGTAGTGTGAGTCGTTCGGGGCCCGCGTCGTGGTGTGAGTCGTTCGGGCTCCTCGTGGTGTGAGTCGTTCGGGCGCCTCGTCCTGGTGTGAGTCGTTCGGGCCCCTCCTTGTGGTGTGAGTCGTTCGGGCTCTTCGTGGTGTGAGTCGTTCGGGCCCCTCGTCCTGGTGTGAGTCGTTCGGGCTCCTCGTGGGGCCTCTTGGGGGCCTCTTGGAGCCTCTTGGGGCCTCTTGGGGGCCTCTTGGGGGCCTCTTGGGGGCCTCTTGGGGGCCTCTTGGGGCCTCTTGGGGCCTCTTGGGGGCCTCTTGGGGGCTTCTTGGGGGCCTCTTGGGGCCGCTTGGGGGCCCCTGGGGGGTCTCTTGGAGGCCTCGTGGGAGCCTCCTGGGGGCCTCTTGGGGGCATCTTGGGGCCTCTTGCGACCTCCTCAGAAGCGCAAAGAAGAGCTACCCCCTGAGAAGGACAAAGTGACGCCAAAACCGTCGTAAAATCAATGGTTTTGCTATGAAGGACGATGGGCGCTGCCCCCTTCAGAAGCCCAAAATGGGGCCAAACCCTAGTAACATCAATGTGTTTGGCTTCACAGAAGAGGAGAGGGACTTATCTCCGCCCCCCCGTCGGGGCCAGAATCCTCGTGAGGGTCGTCGTTTTTTAGCCCTCCCAGGAGTCGAAATTGACCCCCGTGACGACCCGCGGGACCCCCTCTCCAGGCCCAGGGGGAGGGGGTAGGGGGAGGGGTAAACCCCTCCCCGAAGGGGAAGAAGGGGGGTTGAGGACAGAGAGAGCTCGCTAAACCACTCACGCCCAAAGGGCTGGTGGGATTAGACTGCGGCGAGAGCGTGTGCAAGGCGGTCACGGGCAACGGCATGGAAGAGGCGATGGCTGTCGTGTCAATATTATTCAGCGCACTGGGTCGCTACGACACGTTTACCGACGTGGTGTTCACAGTGATGCTTTGGAAAACACCTCCAATTACACAGCTCGTGTTCACGCACACGCTGCACGGTGCCATCCTACGCTTGCCTGTTCCTCTGCACTACGTCGCCCTCTTTTCCCTCGTCTGTGGTGTTTTTGGCTTGCAGGGGGTTCCTGGGGTGATCCTGGTATGCGCCAAGAAGATGCTCCCTGCCGCTTTCAAGTTGAATGAGTTCAACCTGTTACTTGCTATCGTTGACATCGAGGCTAAGCAGCGACCCGCTGAGCTGGGTCCTTAGGAGGAATTGGGGTTGGCGGAGAAGAACGGGTGGACGGGGAAGGGCACCTTTTTCTGAGCCCTTGGTTGCCGCTAGAGGGGGCTTCGAGGCGCGTCGCGTGGATGAAGGTGTCTGGTGTTGGCGGTACTACGCCAGCACGGCGCGCCTGACGACGCCCGCGCTATAGCAGCCTTGCTCGGGCCGGCCTGGCCAGTGCCCCGAAGCGGGTGTAGATCGTTCCCCATGTCTTAAGATCCTCTTGTTTATGTTATGTTATGGTATGGTATGGCAAGTTCAGGTTTGTTACGCCATGTTGTGCACTGTGATATTACGTTGTGTTACTGCATGGCATGCTATGTTATCCCCCATCTCCAAAGGATGGGATTCTAGTTGTTAGTCCGACCGCGCCAACTCACTCACTCATTCACTCACTCACTCACTCACTCACTCACTCACTCACTCACTCCTCCTCCTAGCCTCCTCCTCATGTTACGATACGGCATGGCATGTTCTGCTATTGAGTACTATGGTATATTATACCATTGTACGTTATGATATGATATGCGATGATATGGTATGGTATGTTATGTGATGGTATGTATTGTTACGTTATGATCTCCCATGCTATGGTATGATGTTGGCGGTGGTGATGTTGATGGTGGCGATGGTGATGATGACGAATGATGATGATGGTGGTGGTGATGCTGATTATGATGATGATGATGATGATGATGATGATGATGATGATGATGCCGATGGTGATGCTGATGTTGATGATTAGTAAGATGATGATGGTGATGCTGATGATGGTGATGATTCTGATGATGATGCTGTTGATGCGGATGATGCTGATGACGATGACGATGATGATGAGGTGGAGGAGGAGGAAGATGATGATGACGATGGCGGAGCACATTCTGAGGACGTCTTGAGCGAGGCGCGGGTTTCAGCTCCCCCAAGGGGGGAGCCGCCAGGGGGTAGTGCACTCCTCCGTTCGCGCCAAAATGGCGGGGATGTCTCGCCTGTTTCAAGACCCGACATCATCCGCTTTCGGAGCAGATTTGGAGGATGTCTCAAGCGAGGCGCTCATGTTCGCCCCCAAGGGTGGGCAGATTTCGAAGTTGTCCCTAGTGGTTTGCCTATTTGGCTGGCCAGAGTCGTGGGCAAGGATCTTCTTCAGGATGCCACAGGGGGCTCCAGCAGGCTCCAGGAGGCTCCAGGAGGCCACAGGTACCAGGAGGCATCAGGATGCCACAGGAGGCCACAGGAGGCCACAGGAGGCTCCAGGGAACCCCACGAGGCTCCAAGAGGGTCCGGGAGGCCCCGGGAAGCACCAGGAGGCCCCAGCAGGCAACAGGAGGCCACAGGAGGCAGCAGGAAGCGCCAGGAGACCAAGAGGCCCCGGGAAGGCTCCGGGAGCCCCCGCGAGGCCCCGGGCGCAGGAGGCCCCAGAAGGCAACAGGAGTGGTTCCAATCCCCGGTGTTGTATTTTTGTTCCTGTAAATTGGGTCTCCCCTGCGGCATGAATCCTTGGTGTTTTATTCGTGTTTCTGTGTATTGTCCTTATCCTGCGCATCCACTCCTAAGTGTTTTACGTATGCTCCTATCGATTGGGCCTCGCCTGGGGCACGAGTCCTTGGTGTATTACATGTGTTCCTATAGATTGCCCTTCTCCTGCTGCTCCAATCCCTCCGTAGCCATTTTGGCTCAAGACCCAATGCTTGGGGGGCTGCAAGCCTCCTGGCAAACACGGGATAGCTCTGTTTCCCGAGCTCGACCTTCAGCGGCGCGCGCGGCTCCCCTCGTTTTGGCACTTATAACACTGAGTGTGCCTCGGCCATGGCACCCCAGTGGCAGTGCGTTTGTGGTGAGTACCACGCCGCCGACCGCACCCGGTGTTCGATGGCAGGGTGCGGAGGAATGCGACCTCGCCTCCCTCGCGGAGCAGGGCAGCCCTGGCACCAGCCGTGGCAGCTCCGTCAGCCTCCGTCTCGGGGCAAGTGGGCCGACGCGCCGCCGAGCAACCAGTGGGGGCATAACGGCAAGCTCTTCAAGGGCAAGAGTGCTGGCGGAGACAAGAGTTCCTCTGGCACCACCCTCAGTGCGGAGGAGGTCAAGGTCTGGGCCACCTTCACGCAGGAGACGTGGGACGCGACAAAGCACACCCTCACGCAGTCCTCGCGGGGTAAGGTGGATGCTGCTCGCCGTGCCCATGCTCTCGGCCTGGTGGGGAAGTCGGCGCCCCAGAAGGTGGACGGGCTGGCTCGACAGCTTGCAGACGCTCAGGATCGGCTTAAGCGTGAAACTGAGGTGGCTCGCAAGGCGCTGGAGCAGGTGCACGCCTCCAAGGAGATCATCGCGCAGCTGCAGCAAGAGCTCGCGGAGGCCAAGCGTGAGGCAGCCGCGCTCTACGGCGGAGGCATCAGCCCTGATGCAATCAAGGAGAAGCTCGGCTCGCTCAACACCGACGGGGTCTCAGGCCAGGACCTCCTCGAGCAGCTGTCCAAGATGGTCAACGAGCTCGCTGAGGAGGCGAAGGCAGCTCGCCCGCAGGGAGGGGCGCCCGCTGCTGCAGGTGGAGCAGCGCCTGGCCCCGAGCCAGCTGCAGCTCAGCCTGGCGGAGCAGGGGCCGCAGAGGCGCCAGCAGCGGGGGCGACGCCTGCCGAGAGCGGCGTCGACTTCGACGACTTCCTGGGCGAAGAAGATCCTGGGGGGCTTCTTGGCGGCTGTGGCGACGACGACGAGCAGCGCAAGAGGATCCGCGATGCCCTGGAGGTCCTGCGTTCTGTCAAGAAGCCGCGGACCTCAGGGTAGCTACCCTAGCGGGCGATGGTGGACAGCTCTCTCCATCAACGCCAACGCTTATAGCAGGTTCGAGAGCATCCTCGGCTACGAGAGTCTCAGGAGCTGCGACCTCATCGCAGTCCAGGAGACGCACCTGTCCCAGGAGAGGTGCTACGAGGTCACCGACAAGCTGCAGAGGCTGGGATGGCATGCGGTGGCCACCCCTGCTACCGACGTCTTTGCGGGACACGCAGGGCACGGTGGTCTCCTGCAGTTGGCTCCGAGGTCTTCGGGCCCTGGCGAGTTCGAGGCGGGGCAGCCGACAGTGCTCACGCCAGGCCGCGCGGCAGTCGCGCATGTGGCGGGTCCCTTTCCTGGGGGCCTGGCATGGATCAACGTCTACTTGAAGGTTGGCGAAGGCCTCTCGGCCTACAACCTCGGCGTCCTCGACGGCATCGCGATGGCGATTCGGGCCATCGGCAAGCCCTTCGTGATCGCGGGGGACTTCAATATGGAGCCTCACGAGCTGCAGTGCTCAGGCTTCCTTGAGCGCGTCGGAGGCAGAGTGGTATCACCAACGGACGGCACCATCAGGCCGTCAGGCAGAGTGATTGACTACTTCGTCATCTCTCACGTGATCTCCGAAGCACATGCAGAGATCAAGCTTGGATGGGATATTGCGCCTCACTTCCCTGTTGAGCTCAAGTTCAACGCCAGCTCTGTCAACAGGTACATGCAGGTCATGAAGGTGCCGAAGAAGTTCCCGCACCCTTTACCCAAGGCGTGCTGCGCCGAGGACCACTCCCAGAGGTGGGCGGAGGCGCGCGGCCGTATGGCGGTGTCACCCTCGCTGGACGGCATGTGGCAGATCTTCATCCATTGCGCGGAGCGGTACTTGCTGGATGCCATTGGCCTCAAGCACGCGTACTACGAGTTTGCTGGGCGAGAGCGGCGCCCCTGGCTGGCGCTGGTCAAAGTGCTGAAACCAACGGCGCCCAGGCTGCCAAGGGTGGCCATCACCACGTCGTGGTGCAAGAGCGCGGCCATCGCGCTCAAGGATGCCGCTCAGACTGACCTCGAGCTGAAGAGGCACACGGCGCTGAAGGCGCTCGATCGCTTGTGCAGTGCGCAGCCTGACTTCGAGTCCGACACCAGGCAGGAGACGACGCAGGCCCACATCACCTTGCTGGGCTTTGCGCAGGCGGCGCAGTCCATGGGTCTGCCCCAGCTGCAGGTAGCGAGCTTCATCGCCGGCACCATGGCGGACAAGCTGGTGCAGCGGGACGCGGACAAGGCGAAGGCCTGCTTCGCGGACTGGGTCGCCGAGAACCACGCTCGAGGCACGGGGGCCCTCCACTCCTGGACCAAACCTCCGCAGGGCTGGCAAGCCAGGATCACTGGCGGCCCAGGGAGCGAGCCTCGTACGCTCTCCCAGACAGTCCAAGCCCTGGTGAAGGAGTGGTCAGGGTACTGGGGAGTAGGGGCCCCCACGCCACTGGGGAGTGAGCTCGCACTGGAGCCGCTCGAGTGGCCACACGATCTCGGTGAGCGACCTGCCCGACCAACGGTGAGCGAGATCAGGGAGGTCATCGCCACCTTCAGGGACTCCAGCGGCTCATCGTTCGACGCGCTGCGGCCGCGCGAGCTGGGCGTGCTCGACGACGCTGGGATCGAGGCGCTCATCGACCTGCTGGTCGCCATCGAGCTGCAGTGCGACTGGCCCGCGTTCATCACCAAGATGGCCTTCATCCCCAAGTCGGACGGGGGGCTCCGCCCAATTGCGCTACTGGGGGCGGTGGTACGCATACACGGCAGGCTCCGCAGGCGCATCGCGAAGGACTGGGAGGCGGCGCACGACAGAGACTACTGGTGGGCCAGCTCAGGCAAGAGCTGCGACAGGGCTGTGTGGCAGCAGCAGGCGCGGGCAGAATGGGTCCAGATGATGGGCGAGCTGAACAGAGGCCAGGACTGGGCCTCGGCGTCAGTCATGATGGACCTGTGGAAGGCTTTCGAGCAGATCCTGCACGGCAACCTGCAGAAGGCGTGCAGGCAGCACGGTTTCCCGCTGTGGCTGGCCAAGCTGCAGATCTCCCTCTATCGGCTTCCCAGGGTCATCAGCCTGGAGTCGTGCTGCTCTGACGAGCTGGTGGTAACGCAGACGGTGTTGGCT